CGCTATAAGTTCACTACTATCCCTACTGCTTCACAAAGCAGCAAAGTTGCCATGCTGAAATGTGTATAGTATAACACAAAATGAAAAGTAAAAAAGTTAAATACAGGAGATAAAGTGAGGCAAAAGCAGGAAAACTCAGCATACAGAAATACATACCAAAATCCTGTTTAATTATGAAAGGTAAGTTATAGATTTGATACCTTGACTATAGTTTTATTCCAGTTACTCATCTCCAGTAAATAACCAAATTGTGTTATTGATTTCTATGTCTTTTGTTTAGACCTTTTGAAGTTATAAAACAATGGAGAGCTCTTATATTTCTAATGATTTCTTATACTGCAAGATAAATAATAAGCCTTTAATTTAGGGCCATGCTATCTACAAAGCTTAAATTTCCTCCATAGAATTTATTTTGTCATTTTAATTATTTATATTTGTATGCGTATACTTTTTCTATATCAGTATTTATAGAAAAATATTATTCAGATTCTTTAAAATTTTTTGAACACTGATCTATGTGTAGAAAGTGTGAGAGAACAGTCATTTGAAAATGTATATTAGCACAATGAATAATGACTAAGTTGAAAGCATCTATCAGCTCTTTTTAAGTAAAAGAAATCAATCAACTATAACTAGTTTTTAACTATGTAGGGTTATGCCCTGTGTAATCTTGTTTACTTTTTTTGCTTAGGAAAATCCTTTGCTATAGATTGTGAAAGAGTAAACATCAGCTGGGTAAATTATTATTCATTCTAAATAAATGGAATCTGAATTAATAAATTTGATAAAATGCATTAAGGTAGCTTATTTTCTACTGAGAATCACATTTCTAGATTCTGTTTATGAGGAGTCTCCAGTGAGACTTCTAGATCTCTTTTGGCTGTGAAGATCTTTGCAGCATTGTCCCATTGAAGCCTATAGGTAATGTCTGTGTTGTTACATAGTTCGATTTTTTCACTTGTTTCTATAAAACATTCACAGGTAAAAGCTAAAAGATTTTAACCTGATTCTCTTCTCTTTGTTAATATTAGAATGATGTATTTAAAAATCACTACTTTTTTATGAGTATGTGTAATAAATATACATACCCCCAATTTGAGAGGGAACTCAACCTTTAAAAAACATGAAGTTGACTTTTTAGATATTCCTGATTTGCTTTTGTCAACAGATCAAATTAATGTTAATTAATGCCCTTTTCAATGCCAAATCAGGTTGTAAGTGTACCCATCAGAATTTTCTAGTAATATTTACTCTTTTGTGTAGGTACATTTCCTTTCTCTTTTGTTTTGTGCTTTTAAGATCATCCCCTTTCTTTAATGTTAATCCTGAAATTTTTAGGTCATGAAGCCAAATTACTAAATGTTGTTTCCTAACTCCACTGAATAAGATAATTGATTTTACCCTTTAGGGACAATTACTGTTTTACAAACCTTTCGTGATATGATATGAAACTTCTAATATTGAGAATATCTAAAATCTCTTTTAAATTGCTTATGTAAACATTTATTGATTAGAAATACAGTTTGCATTTTAAACCATGTCATGCTGCTGAGTTGTAGAAAGAAAGATCGGAGGGCATTCTTTATCTCTAAAATACTTGAAGGAATTTAAGAGGATCATGAGGAATTTTTAAATTGTGAATAGTGTAGGATGGCTTGGGAGTGATTATATTGAATAGAACTATTTAATAGAACTATTTAAGTGAGTAGATGTGCATTAATCTCTGTGTATTAACCACATAGGTCAATCATGAGTATAACAGAAGAAACTTCTTTTTGGTTTCTGTATATATCATTTTAATATTTATTCCAATAGTATAATATCTTCACATTGTAAATTTTGTATTTTTCTTTAAGATCATGACTTCATTTTTTATTCCATAAATTAATTTTTGTCCATATCTCATCGACCTCTTTCTCTTTTGGAATGGGGGGTTTGAAGAGGCCCCTGATTCTTTATTTTGTTTATTTAATGAATAAACCCGCCATTTTCCTAAAAAAGTAAATACCTTGAAGGAATAAACATTTTTGCTTGTAAATTAGCAGCCTGGTGATTTTTAGTATGAAAAAATTAACTAGTTTTCTAGCTCTCGATAAATAACATTTATATATTGCTATTACTGCTGTAAATCTGTAGTTTTTTAAAAAACTGCATAGTCTTTAGTCTGGTTTAATTCCATTAATATTATTTGCACAATGTTACAAAACTTCATCCTGATAAAATTTTTGTTTCTGCTCTCTCATTTGGCTCTGTATACCCTGAGCTAGGTAGGAGAGGAGATGTATTTGGGGTATGTTATGGCCTCAGAAATCTCCATGTGTGAATTTAGTAAAAGCTTCTCATTCCATTTTCTCAGATGGAGTAAGGGTCGAATGGGGGAATCAGAGAGTGGTTGGGCGGCTCACCGGGTAGATCCTTCACAAAATGGCATCTAAAGGATTCAGTTATCCTTCAAGTGGTGACTTGGGGATTGTAAACTTTCTCGTGGCACCACTGTTCCTCCTGCTACCTTCAAGTCCTGTGTTAGATGCTGTGCCAGTTGTCACATCAAGATAGAGGGTGGGGACTGTGCATCTTTCTGGAGATTCTAGGAGCCAAGCTTAAAAGTAGATGTATTGTTTCTGCCCACGTTACATAAGCTTGTACGCCCTGTGAGTCGTTTAGGCCAAAGTTCAAAGGAGGCTAGGAAATGCAATTTTCGTTTTTACCTGGAACGCAGGATTGGTGAGTATCTAGTTGTCCTCTGCTGTATGTAATATTGTTTCCATTTTTACAAATGAGAAAACAAAGTTTTAACTTTCGTCACCTTTACATAGTGAAAAATGAAACTGATCCGGGCCTCTTATCCTAGAAGTCTGACACAGTCTACTGTTTATTTGATTTTTGATTGCTCATCCACTCAAGACCTTGCCTTGGAACTCACATACTTGAAAAGAGATTTGAATTTGGTGAAGGTGAACTTTTCTACAACCACTGTAACTTCTCTCAGCAGATTCCAGAGTAATTTATTTAAGATTCTCTTTTTTCTACCTGTTTTCCTAGCTGTACTTGGCCTTTTAGAAGATACTCTTCAGGTTATAAGTACTGTATGGTTTCTCTTTACTTACTGTATTTTTATGGATTCTGTAGGGCTACATAGCCACTTTTAGTCCTAAACTAAATTAACAGGCATATCAGCATTGATTTTGATTACCAAAAGCATGCTAAGTATGAAGTAGAGTTTAAGAAGTATTATATATTCAAATTGTACCTCTCACTATTTGAAATTAACCTAATTCTACATTACTAAATTATAAACATTTTATATTTCCATTGTAACAGTTTTTTTTTAAAATAGGGAAATACTTTTCTACTAGAAAATATTGTTGGTTCTTTTTTTCATGTCTTTTTATATGACTGTCATATTATTGAAGGGATTCTTGCTTTAAAAAGAACTTAAGGTTTCTTTTGCCCATAATGTGTGAATATGAAAGTCTCAGCTGTGACCTTGAAAAACTCAACTGTGAAGGAGCCTAGTGCTCTCAGATTGCCCTACTTCTCCCTCCTTCCCCAAAAGGAAGAAAACTCCTGTGAAATTGGTGTTTACGTACTTTTAGTGTGAACTGCTTTCCCTAACATAAGGAACACTTGTTTTAACAGTTGCTTAGATCACCTAAACATGTTAGCTGTTTATGAGTTCAGCATACCACTGGTTTGTAGCCAAAGTATTCTACTTTCTATTGTAATTAGAGTTCCTTTTTGTTTTGAAGTTTGCTTGGCCCCTCTTTCCATGGAGAGGTAAGTGATAGGTTATATTCTTTGTACATTTGAATAGTGGGTTTTGCATGAGGAGTAGGGTTCTGCTTTTTCTACTTAATAGCTTCTTTGATGAACCTGCTCTCCGTTTTCCTGATTGTTTAGCTCAAACCTTACGCATTTTTCTCTATCCCTTTGCCTCCCTAGGTCTCACTTTGGTCGACTCCTTCCCTTCATATTCCCTTATTGAAAATGACATGGTCTGATTTATTTTGATTTTTGTCTTGTTCAATATTGGGTAAAGAGTGTGTAACAACACCTTCATATTCAATTGCTCCCTTTCTGCCTGTTCTCTTTTGCATGTTGCCTGGTTCACCAATCTGCAAGTTCCCTTTGGTGAGAGAAACCTACTATTCAAATGCGCAGTAGGTGGGACCTGTGACCTAAGGGAAAGGTTTAAACTTTCAGCTGCTGCCCTGTGTGTGGAATGCCTGAGTCCTTGCTCTCCTTGCATTAGCTGTCTTAATTTCCAGTTCCAGAATGTTACGATGTTTTATTAAAATACCAGTTATTAACAGGAGACTGTATTTGTATTACAGTCTTTTAGCTACTTATACTGAAACGTTTTCTTAAGTTTTAAGTAGTATTTGTTTTCTCTTTTTTTCCTCTTGTCAAAATTATGGAGATTTAAAATGGAGACTAAAGCCGTCTTTAGTGACCTATGTGGTGTACCCTGAAATAGAGTTTTGTATGATTATTTATGTATTAAAGCTTTTTAGGTTGCTGTGAATACTAAGTTGTTCTGTATTTGTTCATGTTCAGATTTCCATTTTAAATTTCTCAATTTTTTGCTTCTGAAAAAATGTTAAGTGGTTTACTTTAAATGACATTGTTACTTAAAGTTTTTAAAGAGTTTGCGCCAGTACGTTCTATACTTCATTACATATTTTTTATAGTGCTATTGTTTTTTTTCTTTTCTCTCAGCTTTTATTTTTATTTTTTTATTTTATTTTAATTTATTTTTTCAAATACATTTGTCTCTTGTGCTATTGTCTACAGTGCTATTGTTTTAGTTGAATTTTATATGAGGTTTACACAAGAAAATCATTTAAAAATTATTCTAATAACTGTGTGGTGTATAATATTATCTGAGACACTGCTGACAATCCAAATTTAAGAGAAAAAGCCACTGAATTATCATAAAATACACATTTAGCTAAAATGCTAGAGGTTCATTCTTTTAGTGAGATCCCATTAATACTTTTTTAAATATGAAACACTTCATGAATTTGTGTTTCATCCTTGTTCAGGGGCCATCTACTCTTCTCTGTATCCCTCAAGTTTTAGTGTATGTGTGTGCTGTTGAAGTGTGCACTTAATTTTTATTTTTAAAAAACATTTTTTATTACAAAAACAACACATGTCTGTGATGTAGAATATGATGGTAAATTGATAAAAAAGAGAAAGAAGAGTTAATGGACCATATTCCCATTAACCAAAGATAATCACTGTGTAAATTTTGTTATAGTTCCCTCTAATCTTTTCATATTTTACCTTCATGGTTGTGATTATATTGTATGTGCAGTTTTACATCGTGTTCCTTTTGCTTAATATTAACATAAAGCATTTTTCTCTAATTGTATTTTTGTAACCATTATTAACTGCTACATAGAATCTAAAGTAATAACTTTTGTATCTGTCTGCCAATCCCCTATTAGAAAGGCATAGTGCAGCAGTTTCAAGCATATTGCAAATCATTTTGCTGAGATAGACATACCAACTAACAGGAAAGGGAAGGCATAATTGAGACCAGAATTTAGCGTAGATGGGAACCATTTCATATGGAATTAAACTGTGTACAAATTACTAACTTGAAATAAAAATTATGCAGTTGTCCTTCTAAGTTTTAGTTTGAATTCATGATCTCAGACCTTAGATGGCCACTCCATTCTGCCTGGCAGTTTTTGTATGCTCCATTTCATAGACGACTTCTGCAACCCAAATCCTTTCTCCTCCAACATTATGCCTGACTGCCTCAGCCTTAGTCTAAGCTCTTGAAATCTGAGCCAATTACTTATCTTCGGGTGATCAAATCCACAAAGTTACATGTACAACCCCTTTTTTTTTTTATGTTTATGTAATTTAATTTTTGTCTGTGAAGGAAGTATCTTGTCTGTCAGGGCTTAATTCCCGCACTTGTGCTCTGTACCCCCATTTTTCTTAACCTTCTCACAAACTGCTGCTTTGGCTACTTCTCTCTTATGTGTCAACTGCTTCATTTTGGGGGGATTGTTTCTGTTAGCACACACACTTTAAAAAACAAAAGAAAACAAAACGAAACAAAAAATCCTGGCTAGTGTGGCTCAGTGGATTGAGCACCAGACTGCAAACTGAAGGATCGCCAGTTTGATTCCCAGTCAGGGCACATGCCTGGGTTGCAGGCCAGGTCCCTGGTAGGGGGGGCTTGAGAAGCAAGACCACACATTGATGTTTCTCTCCCTCTCTCCCTCCCTGCCCCTCTCTAAAAGTAAAATAAGTAAAATCTTTTTTTTTAAATATCTCCCATTAAAAGTAACAACAACAAATAAAGAAGAGCCAAAATCCCCCTTTGATTTCCTTTATAGCCAGATATGTTTCATGCATTGTTTTCATAAACTCTACTTTCTCAGTTATTAACTGTTTAGCTTTCTACCATGTTTTATTTTTTCTGTAGGTGATCTTACTAATTTCTAAGATTTAAAAACCACAATTATGTAATGACCTCAAGTTATCTCTGAGTTGTAGACTCTGATATAGTTAACCTCTCGAAATTTTCAGTCGATGTCTCATAGCCACTTAAAAATTCAGCATGTTTAAATTCTTGATTTCTTCCTCTACTTTAGAAAATGTACAATCGTCTTCCTTAAATTAGAGATGTAGACATTATCCTTCATTCCTTACGATTTTTTTACTTCCTGCCTTTTAGTTCATTAGCAAGACCTGTTGATTCATTGTCCAAAATACATCTCTCTGCCATTCTTTCCTCCCCTTAATTCACAGAGCAGCAGTAGAGATCTTAAAATGCAAATCAAGTCTTTCCTCCTGCCTTGAGGCCATTACTTTAGCATAAAATTTAAACTCCATTCCATGACCCTGGAGGTTTTGCCTGATTTGTTCCCTTTTCTCTTTAGACTCTGTCACATGTTTTTTCTTGTACATGGTGCTATTGTGCCATTGGCCTTTTGGTTACTGAAACTGTCACAGGTGGGCACAGGTAACCAGGTTCTTGGTGATCGCGGACAAAAAATTGAACCGAACACACAGAGTTTATAGCAGAAAGCGAGGAAAAGCAGATTTATTAAGCCACACAGAACATGGGAACAGGCCAACTCTGAGCAGAGTGGAGTAGAGAAGAAAGGAGAAGAGCCTAACAGCAGCAGCAGCAGCAGCAGCAAGCAGCAGGGGCAGCTGGAGCAGCTGGGCAGGCAAAAAAAGAGCGAGGAACTCAGGGGCTAGAGGACTTTTATTCCTTAGGGTGGTCCTTCCTTTCCTTGATTGGCTGCTGGGAAGAGGGTCCCACAATGCTAATTCATTATAATGAAGTAGGGGTCAGGTAGCATCTTCCGCAGGGGCAGTCCTGATTCACTAGGATTCAATGCTTCTCCAGATGCAGAAACTACCAGACTTAGGACAGGGTATCCACCCTTTTTCCATGTTCTGTATCTCCTGGGGCACCGCTGGAGTTTCCTCCTTCCTCACTATCTCCTGCCTCAGAATGTTCTTTCATGCCTTTGTGCTTTTGGACATGTTATCCTCCTGGAATGCTCTTCCCTTCCACTCTTCTCATCCTTTAGCTTGCTGGGAAGTGTCCTTTCAGAGAGGTTTTTCTAACTGAAACTTAAGGTTTATATCTCTCATTGTCACCACTTGTTTGATTCTTTTGCATGGTATCCAATTTATGGTTTTTGTCTTTTTTTTATATTGGTTAAATTCTGCCCCAACTGAAATATAAGCATCAGGAAAGCGGGGCTTAGACCTTATTGTGTATGGTTATATCTCCACTGCCTGGTAGAGTACTTGACCACAGTGGGCTCCATAAATGTCTGATGAATGAATGAATGTATGTATGTGGGCTCCATAAATGTCTGATGAATAAATGAATGAATGGACGAATGAACAAACAAACGAATGAACTGGAAGTGCCCTAAGAGCACCCAGCATCCTTAAATTCCAGTTTTGAACAGTAGTTATTCCTAATGAAGATGGCCTGACTTGTAAGAAGTGTAATAAGTCCAATGCATTTTTAAAAATGGTTTCACAAAACATAAGTAAGCAAGCTTGGGCTTATTTAAAAAGAAAATGGTACCTGGGAAATAAAAGAGTCTTAAAATATTTTATTATTATAGGACTCTAAATGTGACCTAAGTTTTCCTATACTAAAAGTTTTTTTGCACTATTATTTCTCAAAACTAAACAACTAATTGTAGTCTATAAAATGAATTATTGCTCATTTAAATGTTTTTCTAAGTGTTATGCACTCAATTCTCATCGGTTGTGAAGTCTATATTTGTGATTTGCCTCCTTGCTAAAATTTATATGTAAAGTGTATTCATTAAAGCACCACAAAATCAATAGTTGTGATACTTTCTGGGTAGTTAATAAACATGCATAATGGGGAGAAATTTGAATGACCTTGTGCCCATTTTCCCAGTAAGTGAGTCCTTACTGTTTCACCTCTCATATTGTAAATAGGTGTCCTTTTCGTGGTATAGTATCAGTGCCACTGTTTTCACATTTTTGCTTTTCATTGGCAACTCCACTGTTTAAAATGACCCGCAAGCACAGTACTGAAATGCTGTCTGGTGTTCCTAAGCACAAGAGGGCTATCATGTGCCTTATGGAGAAAATTTGCTACAAATATTCATAGAACTCAATAAAATCCAATATTTATGATTACAATTATTAGATAAGCTTTGTTCAGGTATGAGTTACAGCACTATTAGCTCTGAATTTAGTGTTAATGAATCAACAATATATATTAAATAAGGTATCTTGAAACATAAACTACACATAAAACAAGATTATGTATTGATTGGTTGATGAAATGTTACTACCAGATGCTCTCAGGAACCTAAACCTGTTATTTCCCCTAGGAGCAATGGTTCAGTGTTTGCAGCAACTTTATAGAATATAACTACCGCAAATAACGAGAATTGACTGTAAATTAAAATTCTAGACTTAACTAGAAATTTCAGGATGTTCTTCTTCACCCATGTTAGTTATAGTTTAGGGACTTTTTGGTTAGTATACATATTTTATTTTAAAATCTTTTTAAAAGTTTTTATTTTTAAACAGAGGGGAAGGGAGGGAGAGAGGGAAACATCAACGTGTGTTTGCCTCTTATGCGCCCCCTACCGGGGACTTCGCCCACAACCCAGGCATGTGCCCTGACTGGGAATCAAACCGGCGACCCTTCGGTTTGCAGGCCAGTGTTCAATTCACTGAGCCACACCAGCCAGGGCTTATTTTAAAATCTTTAAACTGGGAGGAGAACTGAATTCATTTTGGTTCAGAGATTTGTTTTGATCACTTACTGTCTGCCAGTAACTGTGCTAGTTTGGAAATATACAAAAACAAAGAAATACACATAAAATCTTTATTCCAAGAATTTTTCCGTTAGTGGACTATTCCATTTTAACCTGACTGGTCTGGTACAAACTGCAGTTAAATATTGACACTAACTACCTGCAGCTAGCACAGACCTCACCGATTAAGGACAAAGTCCTCCAAAAGAATACCCAGGCTTCAGATGCTAGCTGCAAGTTCTTGGGATACACAGGCTACCCATACTTGGATAATCAGCTATTCGCTACACATTAGGGCATTTTTCACAACCCCCTCAGATTTACTTGTTTGCCAAAATGACTAGAGTTTAGTAAAGTGTTATGATTACAGCTTTATTATAAGATTGCACATTGGATGAGGTTTTAGAAGGAGCACAGAGTTTTCATGGTTTTTCCCTGTGAAGTCAGGGTATCTCACCCTCTGGGCACATTAGTGTATTGACCCACCAGGAAGCTCAGGAGCCTCAGTGACCAGAGATTTTGTGACATTTCATTACAGAGGTATGATTAGACACATGGGTAATTGACCACATGATTAAACTTAATCTCTGGCTCCCTCTCCTTCACATGGTTGTTCACATGGTTCTGGTGACCAGTCTCCAACCTGGAGCTGTCTGTAGGCAAACCATGAATCTACTCAGCGTAACAAAGACATCCCCTGTTACTCAGGAAATTCCAAGGGCTTTTGAAGCTGTGTGCCAGGAACTATAAACAATGACCAGATACATTCTTTATTATAGCACAGGTAAACTGCCTTATAAGTAAAAGGTAA